GAATATTCCAATTCCGAGTTTTATTCCTCCAGCCAAATGTTTCTGGGTTTTGCTTTGGTAGTCTGGGAAATGCAATAATAGCTATTGACAATCTTTATATATTTGATAACTTAGCCCAAAACTGATTCCAGATTTTAGAAAACCAAGCATACTTTCATCTTGTAAAAGTATCAACAATGCTTTCAGGGATAAACTTTGAGCATAGCATATTTCTGCATGAAATTCTTCTTCTGTAACCTGACTTATTCTCCGTTTGTAAATTAGATGAGACAGTGAATTAAACAGTGAGGATTTTTTCCTGAAGTTTTCACAAGTTTTCAAAACTTCATTCATTGTGGTGTTTGCCAGTTCTATATCTCCAGCATCAAAAGTCAGGAAGGCCCTAAAAACCATAATAGCACCATAGATAAGGCCGTGGTACATGCTTTTATTATACAATGGGTGAAGTGAATCCAACGCTTCTGAGAATATATTACTTAGAAATAAATATAATCCTATTGTACTTTCTTCTATGGATAAGGGAAGGTCAATTGATGTTGCTACTGGAATTTCTTCAAAGGCATCTTCAAAATGGTCCTCCTTGCTTTCCATTTCCATTCTAGGAAATGCTATATTTGCTTTCCACTCTAGAGAGGATATAAAACATATACAGGATAGCCTATATCAGATTGCACACTGTCTTGGGGAGTGAGAAAGGGAGGGAGAGGGAAAAAATTTAGAACTCAAAATCTTATGGAAGTGAATGTTGAAAACTGAAAATAAATAAATAAATTTTTAAAAATTAAAAAAAGAACCATGTGCAAAGTGCAGTGATATAGTTAAAAGGAAGGTTGCTTCTTCTTTCCTGAGTAATGAGAAAGTGACCAGTGTGTCACATCTGGTCAATATTGAAATCTTCAAGTTGTTGCATAAAAATAGAATTTTTAAAAACAAGAATTCAGATAGTTGGGTAATGCAATATGATTGACACTTTTACAAGAGAAGAGAAAAAAAGGAAGTCACACAGATAGATAGGAAAGTAGGGCTAGAGACAACCAGCTACAGGGAAGAAAAGAGGCAACAAACAAGAAGACAGACATTGAGGCAGAAAGAACTTCTGGGTCAAGTTTCAGTTCAGATAAACTGCTTCTGTCAGACCTTATTACTGACTTGGGCTATGGGTTTCATAGTATTATCATCTATACTCACTGACCTTTGAAAGCAACCTAACCTTTCTGTGCAGAAATGTGTTGTAATTGTGCATTAAGCCTGGACCTTGCAAAAAGAACCCCCCTTTTCTCTTTCGACAAAATAGATCTGTTGAGTTCTCCACATCCTGTACCCATTTTTACCTTTTATACTCAGTTTTAAAATCAGTGTATTGCAAGGAAGTTGTATGCAAAACAAATACTATTTTAAAATGTGCTGTTATTTAAGATGTACTAAAGTAGTTTCAGTTGAAAAAAAGAAAGGTAAATGCTGTTCAGTTATTCAGTTACTCTGTCTTAAACCTTCAGAAGGCTCAATTCTTAAAGACATGGCCACAATAGCCCAGTAGGGAGTTGGGGGTATGGAATAATTCTCTAGACTGTCTTAAAATGATTTTTATCTTGAGGGAAATCAAGTTGAGGATCAGTTCTAACCCACAGATCAAAGATTCCCCTCTTCCAGCACAGATGAGGGCTCTTTCAGACATTTCTAGAAATTTCTTAAACACAAGTGTGGGCAGGATTGATATATTTAATGAATGCCTCATCACTACCAGGCCCTATATAATATCATACAAAGGCATACTGATATTCCTTGTAAGAGGATTTGATGTATATATTGTTTTTGTTTTTCGTATTGTTGCTATTGTAGTGAATATAAGCCTAATATTTTGGGCCTTTGATATATGCAATATTACACAACTCCTATTTTCAAAAAAAGTTGTGAGCAGATGACACTGCTTATAAGAGAAACAGACGTGAAAGTTTAGTGTTAAAATTAAGTAAAACAGAATAAAGTTAATCTGATATACTTTAATGATATAGACAGTCATGTATGCATATAATAGCATATATGACAAGTAATTTGTATAAATAACTATAAAAACACAGTCAAACTAAATAGTTCTATAGCAAATGGACCATTACATAGCTTCCTAATCCAAACTATACTTAGGACTAGTAAGATATCTAAATTTTCTACTGCTGAGTGTTTTGCCCTCTGTAGACTAAGCATGTTGGCTTTACTTGATTGGCAGACAGAGATGAAGAGAGGAAGAATCAGTTGTTTAGCCAGTGTATAGCCAGTATTGAAACCTAGAACTTTCACTGTATATTCAAACACATTTGATGAATATTTCAAAATAAACGATATGCCATTCACAGCAGAATTTTATGGTATTAAGCATCTACTCATTTATAAAAAAGTATTATTAATAGTATCCCTTATTCCACCTCTTTGTATGCTACACTCTAAGGGGTTGCCTACCTTCTCTACCCCTAGTTTTAGCTATGCCAGGTATCTTCTTTTGGTAACAGTCTGTCTAACCACAGTTTGGGGGATCCAAGATCTCCTAAATGAAGGACATATTAATTTCCAAGTGTTTGGATCTGGGATGGCATTGACACTAAGAAGGGAGTATCACTTGGCAATTTTTATCCTTGCTTTATTGAAAAAACTCAGACAGGAAGGAAAAATGTGGTGGTGCCACTGTTTGTATCTACGGGGGGAAAACATATTGATGAGTGACTTCAGTGATTGATCCATGAAGTGTTAACAGGCAAATATTTCCTAGAAGTGTTAAGATTAAGACTTTTAATTACACCTTAATGTGAGTTAGCTTAATTAGAATGCTTTTCTGATGTCCCAGCTGTACTCAAAGGATGAGAATTGGGTATAGGGAAAGAGTGAAAGGAAATTTTGAAACATGGGGCACTTCACAGGAGGGCAGGGCTGGTTTTGAGTGGGCAGAAAATGGGATTAGGGCAGCAAGTGCCTAGAGGATAAAGAAAACAGGAAGACAGGTGCAAAAAAAGTCAAGAAAGAGAGAAAAGTAGGTTCAGGAAAAGCAAGGGAAGAAAAGTATCAAAAAAAGAGGAGTAGTCAACAGTATTATATGCTGTGGAAAGACCACTGAATGATGACTAAGGAGGAAAAAATGGCTTTGGTGACTAGGAAGTTATGGATGACCTTAAAAGTAGGGATGACCTTCAAAAGATAAGTGGAAACAAAAGCAATTTACAAGGGCTTGAGTGAGTGGTAAGAAAGTGACAATAATGAATGAATTATAAAGACTATTCTTTTTAGAAGAATTACTTAATAAGTCAAACAAACATTTATTAAGTGCCAACTATTCACACTATGGTAGATACTGGGAAAACAAAGAAGGAGGTAGGAAAACTTCCTATTTATGTCCACCAAGCTGATACAACATTGTAAGATGAAGCACAAAAGACATCCTGAACAAAAATTCCATAAAGAAACCAACAAGAAATGACATGACCTCAGCTGTCTATACACCAAGGGCTCTAAACCATTTTTTGCTTGGACCTTTTAGATGTCTGGTGAAGCCTATGAAACCCTTATCAGAATTTTTAAAAAATCCATAATTGAAGGAAATGTTAAGTTTCAGTTAGAGGATGGTAAAAAATTTTTTCTACCCAAGTTCACAGACCTCCTGAAATCTATCCACAGACCCTTTGGGTTAAAGAACCCATTTGTTATACACAAATGCACAAAATGCAGATGAAAATCAGCGTGATGTATAGAACCTATGGCAAATAGGAAAATTTGACATAGATATCAAGACTTGGTGGGATTAGGTCCATGATTGGAATATGATTCTGAATGGCATGACTACCTGGAAAAAAAAAAAAGCTAGGCAATGGTGTATGTGGGAATGGGGGTATCACATTGTTATTTATGTGAGAAATCCAAGAAGCAGATTGGAGAAGCATGATGGAAAGCATTTGGGTGAAGACCAATGGAGGCAGAAATAGAAGTTATATATAATTTAAGTACACCATAGTTTATCTGGGAAGAAAGAGGAAATAGAGAAGTTAACAGATCACACAAGCTTGGTAGGAAACATGATTAGTAGTGATAGAATATTTCAATTATTTAGACATCTGCTAAAACTCTTGTCTGCCCAAAGCAGAGAAGCTAATAATTTACTGACTTGTCTTAATAAAATTTTATCCTTCAAAAGTAAAGGAACCAATAAGGGAGTCACTCTCTGAGTCTATGCCTATGAGTATTCAAGGTTCAGTTAAGACATCTGAACTATATCACTCCTGAGTTGTCAGCTAGTTAATTTTTATTTTTGCTACAACTTTGAAACTTTGGACTTAAGGTCCTGCCAGGAAAAAAAAAGGCAAAATTAATTGGGTAATGAGGACCAGACAAGGAAAAACTTTATATCTCCAAAAATGTCACACTTTGCCCAGAGAATTCACACTTGTCCAAGAGATCATAGAGGAGGTGGGTTACCTAACTCCTCTTGCCAAATGCATGGGAATGCTGCTACGTACATAAATAACTACAACTTTCTTCAGTATTTCAATTGATTTATGATACCAAATGCTCCCTCAAATTATAGTTTGCAACTTATCTATATATTCTCATATTCTGTGGCTTAAATTTTTTTAATCTCTTACATATTTATGATTTAAAAAGAGAAAAACATAGTTCAATAAAACCAACACAGCCATTGTCCTAGCTCTTCAATGACCAAGCTTGGTCATTATAATTACGTAGAATTTAGTTTTGTTGTCTTGTACTTTCCATTTACATTGTTGAAGTCATTGTATATATTTGGAAGGAGGCTTGCCTGCGCATACCCAGATACCCTAACTTGGAAGTGCCCCGCTTCCCAAAGTTCCCTGTCACGTAGGTGTGGGTAGCATATTTTGATTGTCTACATAGCCAGAAAAAGCTGATTTCTTGCTCTGTCTTTAAAAACTGCTAGACTGTAACTGTCTCTCTCTTTTCCTGTTGGCTCTTTCCTGCTGCATCCTGAAGGTGAAGACCATAGTTCACCCACTGCATGAGAGACATGAATTGAACTGGGAGTGGGGTATACCTCCTTTCTTTTATCCCAGCTCTGAAAAATGGGCCTGGGGTTTCTGTTCTGTCTTATTTGTGTTTCTCAGTTTCAGGTGCCATGGTGATCCTGCAGAACTTGAATGTTCAAGATACGGCAACCTTGGAGCCAGGATTACAGTACAGATAGGATGATGTGGCCAACAATCCTGGTAGGAAAGCTTAGTGAAAGCCCAGGAAAACCTGGGCCGTGAGCATAAGGGGATGGGAGGTGAGGTGGGAGTTGGAAGTGGGTCTATTGTGCCATACAGAAACTGCCCCAGAGATTGGGGGGGGGGGTTATGCCTGGGAATAAGCTTGCATGTTTGTCATTATACCTTTGAAGCCAATATTTCTCTGTAAAAGCTAATCCTGTCAGTGGTAAGATGGAGCTGGGGAGCAGAAGACCCAGCCCTATGATTGAGGGAGCACCACTAGTGGAGGCTGGAGCCATTTGCAGAGACCCAGACACTCTAATCCCCCTTGAGGACACTGAAGAACCCTCGGTGAAATATAACACGGTGGATCTTAAGCGGGCGCCAGGGTGGCGTCACATATCGTTTTCCTGGTTTGGCTCGCTTAACTCTGCATCAGTCCATGTAGGTAATTCTCATACTTCTCTGAGCTCTTGATATTTGTCATTTAGCAGTTCAGTAATATTCCATACTGAGTCACTGTATGTTCAGCCATTCCCCAAACTAGATAAGCATCTATTTTGATTTCAGTTCTTTGCTACCACAAAGAATGCTGTTAGGAATATTTTGGTACACATAGGATCTTCCTTTCTGTCTTTGACCTCCTTGAGGTATATGTCTTAGCAGTGGAATCTCTGAGCCAAAGAGCATGGGCATTTTTGTCACTTTTTAAATCATAATTCCAAATTGCTTTCCAGGATGATGGGAACAATTCATAGTTCCACTAATAGGGTATTAATTAGATTTCTCTGAAGTCCCTCAAACACCAACTATTTCAGGAGAGTAATCATTATTCTGGAGGTATTCCTCTATGTATTTTAACGTTTTGAAGACATTAAATGCAGCATTCAACTCTCCCACTATTGTACTCTCCCCTCCTTCAACATCATGGAATCTCAGAATTGGAAGAGATTCCAAACACCATTTATTCTAGACAATACCTGAACAAGAATCCCCTCTACAATATGGTCAGTAATCTACCTATCCACTTTCACTATGTAACTGGATTATTTTCTTATCATAAGTTTCATGAATGATATATTTTATGCCATTTCTTCTATGCAAGTCATCACATATATGACATATGAAGTGAGCCACTTACACTCACTGTGGGTGTCTCCACTGCCTTTTGAGTTTGATTGGCAACTTGGAGATTGCAGTGTTACATGATTTGCAGACATTTCATAGCATTACAGAATACTAAAATATTCAGATAGTTCTGAGATCTCATCATTACGGATATTGCCTCCAATAATGATCACAATCCATCCATACCTGTATTATATGCCATTCATGTCCATGATCACTCTCACCATGTGAAGAGCCAATCTTCTTTAATATTCATACATTTCTTTGATAATATATTTTGAGTTCTACTTCATAATTCCTTGTTTGTACTGTGTTGTGTACTAATAAAACCCACTACACATTTTTCCAGCATCTCTAGGTGAAACTAATTTTTATTTCTTCTCCTTCAATCCATTGTAGTGTTCCACAGCTGGGTTAACATTAACATAAAAAGATGGGGTTTTATAATAGAGAGCAGCTTGAAACAACTAAATATATTGCAGTCTCACAATGATCCAGCATGCTGTCCAGCATTCTAGATCCAGCTTATGGTTAATCTGCAATGCTTATGAGAGATACAGGAATTGGGGCAGCTAGGTGGCGAAGTGGATACTCCAGGAAGACTCATCTTCCTGAATTCAAATCCAGCCTCAGATTCTCAGCTGTGTGACCCTGGGCAAATCACTTAACCCTGTTTCCCACAGTTTCCTCATCTATAAAATGAGCTGGAAAAGAAAATGACAAACCACTCTAGTATCTTTGCCAAGAAAACCCCAGATGGGGTCAGGAGGAGTTGGACACTATTGAAAAATGACTGAAAAACAAATTCCTCTAAGACTAGCCCAATTTTCATTCACATGTTGTGTCTCCTAAGAGACAACTACTCCAGTTTCAAGTTGTGGCATGGGTCCACATTACTTGTAAACTCACAAACACCCTCATACTTTCACTTTGATAGCCAGTGAACAATTAGCTCAAAGCAAAGGCATTTATTTAAAGAGCATTAACAGTTGTAACAAAAACATTTCCTGCATGAACCTGGGTTATACTCTCCCACAAATACACACAGCATTAGTGGGAAGAGTGGAAAAGTACACAGACTATACTGGCAGAGGCATACACATAAGGAACACGTGGTCAAGGTAATGTACATCTCTAGAATTCTAGGCCTTGGTATCTTTACTCTTCTTGTGGTATCCTGATGCTGTTCCTGCTAGGCACAGCATCACTGTGAGGTACGTTTCTCTTCTGGGTTCCCTGGGTCTTCTTTGTAGACCAACTCAACTCCGCATCTAAACTCTCTGAGCCTATTCTCTTCAGAGTTGCTCCTGCTGCACACTGCCTTTGTTGATGGGGGGGATCTGAGAGAGAAATTTCCTCCTGTCAGCTAAAATCTGGAAAGGCTAAGGAAAAGCTAAAGAATGATTCTCTCTCAAGAACTGAATTTTTCATCCATAGTTGGATCTCTTCTAGATGGCCATGCGTGATGGACTCCTTAGAGCTTTTTAAGGTCACAAGTGGTGTTGTTGATTCTTTAGCCATCTAATGGCCAGCCTTCCTATAAATCCACCAGATTTAATAAGAAATTTCTTCACACATCCTAAAGAATCTCTTAATCTTCTCCATACTACATCACTCCATTTTTGCAATTACTTTGTATTGGTATATTTCTATAGGAAATGAGGATAATCACATTTAATGTCTTTTCCCAATTTTAGTGTTAATAGGTTGTTTGCATAAGTCAAGTTGGTGTTATTGTGATTGTATGCCATGTCTTCTCATCTTTATCCTTTTTTCTAATGTGGTGTTAATTATGACTTTTTTTAGTTAATGGCCTGACAGTATATGGGTATTTGATTCTGATATGATTCACACATCAATAAACACATTATAAAAGGTCTTCAAGGTGCTTTCCTCAAAACAATTCTGTGGGGTAGACAGTAAAAGTATTATTAATCCTATTTTACAAATGAAGAAAGTAAGGACATGAGAAATTAAGTGATTTGTCCATGCTATTAAATGTCTAAGGCAAGATCTGACCTCAGGTGTCCTGATAGCACATGTAGTACTCTATGCACTGTGCAATATTACCTCTAATCAGTAATTAAAAGTTTTTTATTTAATTTTTTTGTCAGGTTATTTAGCCCTTGCCATGGTCAGTGCCTTCTGACTCATTTTTTGAAACGTGTTCATGACACATAGGAATAATACTTCTAAATAGGTCTAAAACCTTTGGTTCCTTCTATTTAATTCTTTATTATTCTTTACTACTTGACTATTTTTACTACTTTCCTTTATTGATTGATGGAATTCACCATCTTCACATGGATACAGTTGTATTAAAAGTGCTGAGTGTCAATGTATATGTTGACTTGGTTTGGAGGATTTCATCAAGTATCTCTCTTCATCCTCTGCAATAGATGTCATATATGGTACAGTGATCTTTTTTGTTGTCTTTTCTTTACATTTATCATGAGTGCAAGAAGAGACGACCAAACATTCCATGGTACTTCTTCTTGCCTTATTTATGTTGCATAAGAAACCAATTCTTTATTTGCTTCTTTTGTCTTGTTTTGGTTTTTTTCTTTATTTGCTTCTTTAAGAAGAACTTGTGAATAATCGTTCCTTTTAGTAGCAACTTCCTTATGTATTCTGGTTTCATTTATATCAAGAATATCAATAAATATGTAAGCCATGACCCTGGCCCCTCCTCTAAGATTCTGCAATCACAAAGACTGGGTCTAATCCAAGGGGCCTAAAAAAAGGGCCATTCTTCTTTGGCGTGTTATGCCCTTACCCAGAGTTTATTCTGAGAAATTTCCAAATATAATTTGAGCCTAGATTTTCACAGATATGGGTAAAAGGGGTCCCCAGCATCCATAAATGCACTCAAGGTAATAAAAGCATATTAAATATAGGATAGTCTTCATTATCCTACAGAAAATGAAGATGCAAAGGACTCATAAGAACCCATAAACAAATACAGAAAATATATAAAGTGCTGAAAGGACTCAAGTGGCTACAAATAGAGTAAACACATAAAGCACTGGCAAAAGTTCACCTTAGCAGAAATTAAATTTAGGGTTGTCTGTGGAGTAGTAATTTAACATTCTGGTGACTCCCTAGATTTCTATAGGCTTCATATAGTCCCTCCCAGATTCACAATACTCCCCATAGTTTGACCAACCAATTGGAAGGCAAATACACTTGGAAACTGCTATACAGAAAAACCCCTTTTCCATCAGATTTTTATTATCAGCATAATGTAGTAGAAAGAACACTGAATTCGGAGTCAGAGGTCCTATATTCAAATCCTGGGTCTGTTTACAACCTGTAGGACTTCTGGCAATTTGCTTAACATTCCTGGGCCTCAGTTCTTTCTATAATGAGGAGGCTGGACTAGATGGCTTTAAGATCCCTTACAACTCTAAATCTATGACTCTATGATCCTATGAACTCACTATAATAGTTGTGGTGATAAGTCCCAATCTCTTGCCTTAAAATAATCATGGTTTTAAGTCCCTTACTATTCTCCAGTTGCAGGGGTCACAAAGATAATCCTCTTCTTTCTCCAAGATGGACAGTTTTCAGGAAGTCCTCTTTATTCTCAGGAAGTTCCAATCCATGAACTCTCAAATTTGGGGTTACTGTTGAGGCAGCCTCCAAGGCTAGTGCTGCCCAGATCTTCCCTTTTCTGCTAGAAGGGTAGAACGTGAAATTATCCTGCCTGGGAAATTCTTTTCCTTTATAAGCTGTGGTTCAGTAATATTGTCTCTGAATCTCCTTCTTGGGACATAGAGTAAAACACATATAATTCCATTATCACTGGATCAACAATCATTTATTAAGTACCAACTATATGCCAGCATTGTGCTAGGCACTAGGAGTAAAAAGACAAAGATGAAACAACCAAGTGCTTCTAAAAGAACTCTACGCTATTACTGCACCAATTACTGCCATCTTTTAGGCAAAGAAAGTTCCTTATTAGCTTTCCTGTTGAGCTGAATGGTTAAGCTGTAGGCAAATATTTGTAACTCCTATGTAGCTTCTCTACTTCAAGGGAGCCATTAAAAGATCCTGGGGGCTGGGGAGGGAGTAGGGCACTGATGGCGTGCAGCTAGGTGATGCGGTGGATAGAGCACTAGCCCTGGAGTCAGGAGGACCTGAGTGACCCTGGGCAAGTCATTTAACCCCCATTGCCTCAAAAAAAAAAAAGATCCTGTGTGGGGAGGAGATTGTGCAGGATGTACAGGTTCTCCCTCTCTGTGCCCCCCCCAAAAAGAAACCCTTTATTCTTTTCTGTCTGCTGATAGGGGAAGAGGGAAGGGCTGAACTGATCTGTTGATTTGTTTTTATAGGCCAGCACAAAAGAATGGCTCCTGCCACAAAGATCCAGCCTTACAAAAGCCTCAGCCAATCAAATCATATGGAAGGGAAACCCAGTCACTGAAAACTAATGAGGAGTTGACTTTGTCTTCTGAACAGGGTGCCAATGCACATATCCATATTCTAAAGGAAAGAAATATATCCATCAAACTGACACAAAGGGGAACTCCCCTGATCCAGTGCCCTTTACCCTGATGATGATATGGTTTAGTTCTTCCCATGCTAATCCAATTTGTTGATCATTGGATAAGGATTTCACATTTAGGATATCAAGTTACATTAATGTCTGGCCTAAAAGATGACATAAAACTGTGATTCTCTGTACCCTCAGCCCCCATTTCCACCGTTTTGCTACCATCCCTGCAGAATCAATAGGATCAAGGGCCATTTTTAATTTTTCTTTGTTTTGTGGGTTGCCACAATCAAAGAATCCATCATGCAATGATGATGAGCCTCTCTTTACGTAGCCAGGCTGGTTACTGGACAGCAATGGAACCACGCTCAAACCCTTGTTACAACCTGTTAGAACCTGCCTGTGGTCTGTTGGAAACAGCGTTGTAGATAGATTGTAGAGAGAAGGCACAGGAGGCAAGAAACACAGTTAGGACGCTACAACTGAGAGGTAACAAGACCCTGAACTAGGACAGTAGCAGTGAAAGCAGAAAGACAGGGATTGATAGAAGACCACGTGGAAGCACAATTGCTAGGTCTTGGCAACTGATTGATTTGTACAGTATGTTACACAAAGCAGTCACCTTGTGCAAGTTGCTTGACTGAATTAAGTTTAAAAGATCACAGGGCATCTGGAAGTAGGATGAGTCAAAGATAAAGAAAACATTTGAAACATAGGTGACTGGGAAAACAACGGTGCCCAGAACAGGGAATTGAGGAGGCACAGGTTTTGGTGGGAGGGTAAGCTGAATTTTGGATGTGTTGAGTTGAAGTGACAACAGGACATTCAGGTGTAAATATTCAGTGGATAATTGGAGAAAAGGGACTGGAGCTCTGGAGAGGTATCAGGGCTACCATATACTTTTAGGAGTCATTAAAAAGAGATGATAATGAAAATCATTCACCAAAAGGTTATGAATTCTGCTTCTGTACCTTTATTTATTTCATTCCCTGGACATTACTGCTTCTACGCCTGTTGGAAATGCATTTCTTCTACACATATTAACCTGTTGAAATCCTCCCATTTTACAAGGCCCCAGTTAAAATGTTTTTCTTAATCCATTCAATTAAAGTGATTTCTCCTTCCTCCAATTCTCATTATGTACTTTGTTTTTTAACTCTCCTATTTACTTATTGCATTCTTATTTTGCTTGACTATGCATATTTGTTACAAAGGTTGGTTTTGTGGGTTTTTTCCCCCTGAGGAAAAAGAGAAGGAAAGAAGGTGAATTTTTGTTTATTAAAAAAAATAGAATTAAATTTTAAAAAGAATTTTAGGTTTAGAAGGGGTGAGCCATAAGAAGAGGTGGAATGATAGGTTATGGTCAAATACAGGAATGTCCGGGTTTCTACTTAAACAAGTGGAACACTCTGAGGTCTAGTTTGTGACCTAAGTGTGACTGAGACAAGGTAAAGGAGTAGGTCATGAGATCTAAGGAAGTTGAGGAATGGGGAAGTTAGGGTGCTTAAGGAGGCATCCATGGAGATATCAAAGCCTTCTAGTATAAAGGAAGAAACTGGGGAAGAGAAGATGGTGAGCCAGATACTGAACTCCTTGAGAAAGAAAGGAGAATGACTTGGGGAGTGCTACATATTATCATCATAATTAAAACTGGTTGGAAAATTTTGATTGAAAGGACTGCAAAGAAGTGCCATGGGGGGAGCAAGGCGTATTCTGACTGATACAGAGTACGACAGCACAAAGGAAAAACTTTCCATCAAGGACATCAGGGAAGTCTTCACAAAAGAGCTATCTAAATTGAGCCTTGATGGAAAAGGAAGATTTGTACAGGTAGATGAAAGAACAGTCTACACAGTGTAGAAAAAGGAGAAGTAGCAGGTTGAGTTCAGGAACAGCTAAGAGTCCAATTTGGTTGGGATGTAGAATATCAGGAGTAATTTGACACCAGGGTATAAAGCTAGATTAGAGCCACATTGTAGATTACCTTAAATTTCACAGCAAAAAGTTTGTTATTTCATGCCAGAGCTTAGGGAGTTATCAAAGGTTCATCAGCAGAGAAATGACAAAGGCACCTCATTTGGAAAATTATTCTGTTAGCTACCTGAAGGATGAAGGACACATGTTAGATACATGAAGGAAAAAGGATAAACTAGAATTAATACAAATCAAGAAGATAGTATAATGGTTGAGGCAAGAGGTGAGAAGGGTCTCAGTTATGGTGCTAGCATTTTAAAGGAAAAGGTGAATAAATTTAAGTGGAAAAAGTCAAACCTGGTTGAAGAACAATGGTATCATGAACAAAACAGGTAAGTTGTGAGAAGGAAGAAGTTGATTTATACTTCCTTAGGATCATAGGATCATAAATTTAGAATTGGAAGGAGCATTAAAGATCACCTAAGTCCAACTCTATCAATAATTCTTTGCATGAGAAATGTATGAAAGGTTAGTGGATGGATTCTTCCTCAAATCTCAGGGGTAGTAATGAAAATATGACTGATAAGTATAGGGCAGTTGCCACAGGTACAAACTCTGAGTAGCTCTTTTCCTATGGGGCAATGCAAATAGCAGTAAAATTGGGATGGGGTTTCTGAGAAAGGAGAAGGTGGATATTTAAAATCAGTCTAGAGATTTAGGATACATGCTCCTCTTTTGTGCTTTCTTTCTCCATTTGTGGCTGACTCTGATGTTCATTTTAGCTTGACTTAACTTCTGTAAAAAAAAAAATGAGGCAAGGGTGGGAAAGTCCACAATTCAATTTTCTCTAAGTCAGCAACACTTTAGAGATATTTCCTGCCTGTCTTTATACAGTCTGACCCTGATGCCTGCAGTACACCTGCTTCCTTTTCGCCTCTGTAATCCTTCTTTTCCTGGAAGGATCTTAGCTGTGAAATCTGCCCTGATTCCCCCCCACACACACACCCAGTTCTTACTGCTTTTCTCTTCCTCAAATTATCTTGTATTTACTTAACTGTTTATATGATATCTCCCTCAGGAGAATGTATACTCCTTGGAGTAAAAACTGTTTTTTGTTTTTGTATCACCAGGCTCTAGCATAATCAGTCAGCAAGCACTGATTAAGGGCCTACTATGTAGTAGGCCCTTAATAAACCCTTTGTTAAAATGAACTTAATTGCTCTGGGAATCATAAAAGGACAAGCATCCTCTTGGCTTTGGACATGTGCCAGAATGGGAGGCAAAATCTAATTGCATTTTAGCAGATGAGGCTAATTCTTTTTTAGCCTCCTCCTCTCCCCTAAGAAGTCCACAAATGAACAGGCCAAGGTATTCTGATTTGTCCTAAATTAAGGAAAGTTATGCTTCCCAGTGTCAGCAATTACCACATGAGAGTTATCAAATATCAAATCTGACATGAGAAAAGTTGTTTTTTTAGAGTATAGAAAAAAATTTTTAAAGACATATAAGAGATATATTACCTTGTGTTTATTTTACTTTGTCTCCAGAGATGAAAGGTTACGTATAAACAGAGCTTCATTACTATATTTTCTGTACTTTCCACACTGCAAGATAAGATTTAACATGCACACAAAATGTTGCTATGTGTATTGTCATTTGTAATATTTAATTTACTTTAAAGACTAAATGTGGTCATAATCTAGGTAACTGATCTAAGGTATCTCAGTGATCTACAATAAAAATGTATTTGCTGAGGCTTGAATTAGTTACTTTCTAAAATAATAAAACTTTTTATAAAGGCTGTGCCTTCCTGGTTTTATTCTTACTTGTCTAACCACTTCCCCTTGGCATCTCCTGAGGGGTTATGTCTCCTGGTGTAGTAGCACCCTAGGGTTTGGTCCTGACCTCTCTTCACTCTACCTGTCTCAGAGAATTTAATATTTCCCTAAACCCACTCTTGCAGCTTCCTAACTTCTCCTATGTCTGTTAGTCCACCACCATCCTTCCAATTATCCAGGTTTGAAACCTAGGAATTATCTTTGACCCTTTCCCTACATCTACCCAGTACAAAGCTCAGAGCCCTATGGATTTGGAGCTGGAAAGGACCTTTGAGGTCATCTAGTCTAAACCCTACATCTTACAGATGAGGAACTGAAGCCCAAAGAGATTAAATAATTTGCCAAAAGTCCTGTAGGCAGCTAAGTAGCCCAGTCAAAATCTGAATTTGTGTCTTCTGACCCCTGATGCACTGTTCTTTCCACTGATATACAGTAAGCACTTCATAACTAGTGTGTGAATTGAACAGAAATGGAACAAAAGCCACCCACAGTATAATAAAAGAAAAATGGTGAAATTCTTGTGAATTCTGGGGTCCAAATGAATTATGATTCACTCTATGTAGATAATACCCATTCTTAATTGAGATTTCAAATTTTGATATATGTTCCCATAAGGACTGCTCAGTATGCTAAGTCACCCATACTCTTACTCAATTCCTCAAAAAAACCCAACAAACACATTTATAGGCATTTATGAGACAGGGAGATTTGGTACAGGTCAATGGTCATGAACAATTTTTCTCTGTTGGAACCTAATTGGCCCATATAAAAATCAGAACCTTAACTCATTATTAACACCATGTTTTAACCTTAGCTCAGAATCTATCCAAATGGATGCTTTGACCTTATGGGCATTTGTATATTAACATAATCCTAAAAGGTCTTATTTGTAGTCAAAAGCATATTACAACAGATACCAAATATGAAACAACTGTATTTATACCACAAATCAAAGGAATGACCTAGTTCTTTCTCATCTGTGAAAATGGTTCAGAAAGCATTACATGAAGGTGGTGTACAAAAGTAGTAACACTCCGTAGCTGGACTGGAAACCTGAACCTGGAATATTTTTGGTTGTGTGTTGAGACACATTTGCATATGAAGTTCTCAGGAATTTCTGCATCATACAGGAGAACTGCAGTGTGTTTTAAATATTAGTAGCATTAACTGGAAAATATTAGTGTATAATTATTAAATTGAGTTAAACTATTAGATGGGTTCATAAGCAAAAATTTTTAATGCAAAGCAAGTTTCTTATTAACTTCAAAAGAGTGATATTATAAAGATTTAACTCCAGAACTAAAAATGACAGTTTTCCCACCTCACAGATCATTAACTCCTTCTTTCCCATTCTATATCTGGACACAGCAACTGTGGAAATAATGGATTTTGGGGGAACTTTGGGATGTATAGTTCTTTTGGCTCTAATTACTATGATGATTTACTTTTCTCAGGTGCATTTTATTATATGTTGAATTTTTTTATTTCTTGCTCTTTTTGTAAGTTCAGACAACTTTTTATGGAGAAAAATAATTACAAATAATTTAGTTCTAGTACATGTCTCAAGTTCTAGTCACTTTCAAATTAAGGAAAACTAGCTGAGAGAGATAAAGTAAGACCTGAGGACTGCGGCTATTAATAGCATGGCTGGGATTGGAACCTGGGTTCTCTGACTCCATCTAAATTTAGTGTTTTCTACTATTCCACTCTTGGAATTGAGTTAAAATTATTAAAGTACTGCTAAGAAGAATTAAATATTTGCTGGATCTGTTTAGTAAATGAACAAAGTGTGACTTTCCCTCCTGACTAAAACTCTTTCTAAACTTGTTAACTCACAATTTTTGGGTAAATGTGAGTTAATCAAAGTTTAAACATTATGTATCGTCCAGGTGAGAACTCCAAGTTGAAAACATTCATTTCTAGCCTTTGAACCTGAAAAGAAGATTCTGCTACAAATCTTGGATAAATGATCTATATACATTATACAGAAATACTTATGTTGCTGTATGCTACTGTTTCTCCTTGTTGTTTTTTGTTGTGGTGGTTTGTTTTTGCCCAGGGTCACACAGCTAGTAAGGGTCAAGTATCTGGTCTGAGATGGATTTGAACTCAGGTACTCCTGACTCCAGGGCCAGTGCTCAATCCATTGTGCCACCTAGCTGCCCCTTCTCCTTATATTTTAAAAAATCTTTGTCTAAAGATTCTATTTGACTTTTGTTTTGTTTTCACACTTAAAATGAAAACTTGACTTAAAAGTGAAACGAAAATGTTTCTACATTTTCTTTCTAGAAAAAATGTGTCCCTCTCCACCCTACAATATTCATTTTTAGTCATCTTTCTTATCAAAGAGGCATAAAAAAGGACTTTGGCCACCTAATTCTTACTTTGTCCAAATTAATAAAGTTTCATTGTATTTATAACTCTTCTTTCCCAGAGAATTAAGAAACATTCTACAAATATTAGATTAATCCTTACCAAAACTTCATTAAGCAGGTAAATGGAAAAACAAACTCTTAAGACTCTATGAAAATAAACATGATCTATGTTACTATATTTTACCAAAAGGCTCAGATCATCAGACATTCACTCCTTGATAACCTTTGAGGTAAACAAACGATCCTTTCAACTACTAGAAGTTTAGTCTTTTTCCTGTATTCTAAGTCCTTCAGAACTTATCCCCTTACATATCATACCAGACAAGCAAGGCAACTGACTTAAGAAATGTTCTTATTCTTTCTACCTTGTGGAACAAATCCGGCTCTTGTGAGGTTTTTTTAATTGGGGAGAAGGGGTCGTGGGGTTGGATGTCCAGGAATATCAAATATCTTGCCTGCTACATGTAGTTGGTGAAGAAGAATCAAATCTGCACTTTAATTGCTGCTCTTTTAAAAAGTGTTCCTTAGTGGGGCTGCTAGGTGGCGCAGTAGATAGCGGTCCAACCTTGTAATCAAGAGGACCTGAGTTCAAATGTGACCTCAGACACTCGACAAGAGCTGTGTGACCCTGGGCAAGTCACTTAACCTCAATTGCCTCAGCAAAAAAAAAAAGTGTTCCTTAGTGATTTTTCATATGTATGTATATATGGTCAGCCTTTACAGATGGGAGGATTGATAATCAGCAACCAGGAAATAGGACATAGGTTTAGTAATGTTTGTATATACCCCTCCCTTCTTCCTAAAGAGTCATCGTTCTACATATTGTAGACCCTTTATAATGTAATGTTATATATGTACTTGACTTAATTCTGTGCCCCACATTTTAGAAATCTATAGCGATTACTCCCTCACTCCCACCCTAAGTTAGAAGAAGAGTCTTGGGATCGTGCCATACGAGAAACAATTAAAGACGTGGGCATAGTTTAGTTTGGTGAAGAAAAGCCTTGGATAGGTTCAGGTCTGTGAGCCTGGATGGAGAAAAAATTACATCTTTATTTCTATATAATTAGTTTTCTTTGTAATTCTATGTATTTTATACATTTTAAAACGTTATTCTGAGAAGGGGTCCGTAGGTTTAACCAGACTGTTAAAGGGGTCCAGGACACAGGGCGAGTTAAGAACCTCTGCCTCAGAAGTAACAGGACAGCAGTCTCAGAGATCAGACTCGGTCTGCTTGGCCGCAGGCGGCTGACGCAGGTGCAATGGGTGGAGAGCAATTGCAAACACGCAAATTTTGAGGGAAGAAACAGGAGCGACGCAATGTAGTTTGCAGAGAAGAAATAAGAGGAGCAAAGCGTAGAGGTCGCAGACACGTAAATTTGGAGGGAAGAAGAAATAGGAGCAAAGCGTAGAGGTTGGAGGGAAGAAGGAATAGGTGCAATGAATGGGTGGAGGGGTCGATGTAAAGAAAAGCTCCCTAACAAGGCCATCCAAAAATAGAAACGCAGAGTTTAAAATTTGGAAGGGATTTGGCATCCATCTAAGTCTAACCCACGGGGCTGCCTCTGGAGGTGGCGGGTGCCCCACTCCTCCCTGGAGGGCCTTCTTTAAGGCTGGGGGAGAGGAGGTTCTGGTGCAGGCTCAGGCTCAAGGCCCTGTGCGGGGCCCTCGGGCTCCGAGGTTCTGCCCGGCCTCCCCGCCCTGCAGAAGGAAGGGGCCGGGGGTCACTGCTCCCGTTCCGGGACCCCTCCTCCGGGCTGCGGGGACTTGGGCGGGGGTCGGGGGGGGCGGTCTCCTCCTCACCCTGGGTCAGGCTCCCGACTCATCGATTGGTCTATGACCTCTTCGGAGGCCGGCATCGGGCCGATCCTAGCACAGTGGCGAAAGAAGTTTCGGCAGCTGCGTTTTACTGTCATATGTTGGGGCGCTGCAGCTGCACGGGAGACACGACCACAGCTCGAGTCCCTGACTGGGGGGAGGAGAGGGAGGAGAAGGGAGGGGAGGGGAGGAGAGGAAGGCGGGAGGAGGGTTGGGCAGGAAAGGGAGAGGAAAGCTCAGGCTTGAGGCGGGGCGAGCGCGGGTGAGCCCAGTGTTCCCATGACAACGAATCTCTCCGCTGCCTGGAATCCCAGCCCCCAAGGCGTTCGAGCTCCTCCCGTATCGCTTCTCTACCGTTTCCGCCTCGCGCCTTTGTGTGGCGCGTGATGACGAAATGACGCACGCGTACGGCCAAGGAGGAGGAGCCCTGGTATATAAATTCAACCCCAAGCATTTTCGACCTGGGAGTTGCTCGAACCGCCGAGGGGGAGGTTGGCAGTGTTTCGGCCCAGACCAGGTCATTGCGAAGTGCAGCGGATACGAAGGCCGGACACCATGTCGCGCTACGGGCGGTACGGAGGAGGTAGGAAGCCGGAGAGGGAAGCGAGGGACGGGGGGATGGGCCAGGCAGTGGGACCCGAGGCGGGCTCAGGTTGGCGGCTGTTGGGAGACGGTTGTTCCTCGTGCGTAATGGCGGACCTCGTCTTGGCGCCACACGGAGCCATAGTGGGGGGTGGGGGACGGGGGAGGGGAGCCGTCGAAGGAAAACATCTCCGCGCGGGCCTCTTCATGTGGGAGGGGATTCGAGGGGCTCCCGCGTTCCGCGACGCTGTGGCGGGTCGGCTGCGGCAGACCTGGCTGGCCTTTTCCCGGCCGCTCTCCCCGCTTTCGCGCCGTTGGCGGCGGGAGAAGGTGGCTGCCATTTTGCGCACGTTGCCCCTCGCCGTGGCGCAGGACCTGGGGCCTTCACCTCTTCCCTTCCCCCTCAGCTACCCTGCTTGCAGGCCCCCCCCCCCCCGCACCCCAGACCGGGTTAGGGCCTGCGGCGAGCGTGCGGTGCACTTGGCGCCTCGGCAGCAGCTCCAGCCGCTGCCAGGGATTGCGATGTGGGAGTTAGGGAAGTCCCCAGCGATCCTGGCCCAGAGGCCTCCTCTCCCCAAGAACTTGTTTGTGGCCTCGGTCTGGAAGGGCGCCTGGCGCGGCAGGCGGGCCCTGGGCCGAGAGGCGGCTCCGGGTCCTGCCTCGGGCCTCCGCCGCGGGAGCTGGCTTCGGCCCTTGCCCCCGAGGATGGGTTAAAGCCTCCGTTCCCCTCTTTTGGGCCGAAGGTGGGTGGAGCTCTGGGAGGTGGGGACTCCTCCCTATCTTTGTGCCGGAGCTCGGCGATTGTGGTTTCTGGGAAGTAATAAGCACGCTTAATTGAGTTGACAGAAAGGACAAAAGAAAGTATTGACATATTCGTGGAAATACAGTTTTTTTAAAAAGTTAAAATGCTTTACAAATAACTAAAAATTCAAAGTCTGTTTTGTTGTTTGGAACCATGCTTATATCACCTTTGCCATCATGATGTGGATCAACTTTAAATTGGATTGAGGTATTCTTCTAATATAGAATTTTCTTTTTTGTTTCATATAACAGAGACCAAAGTATATGTTGGCAACCTGGGAACTGGTGCCGGCAAAGGAGAATTAGAAAGAGCATTTAGTTACTATGGGCCCTTAAGAACTGTATGGATTGCCAGAAATCCTCCAGGATTTGCTTTTGTGGAATTTGAAGATCCAAGAGATGCAGAAGATGCCGTTCGAGGACTAGATGGAAAGTATGTATAGAACTTTAGTGTCTCGCAGTCATTATAGTAGTCTGGAAAACAAATATATTAGGACATACTTACATATTTTTAATACAATATGCATTCATCCAATTTTGCAGGGTGATTTGTGGCTCTCGGGTAAGAGTCGAATTGTCAACAGGAATGCCCCGAAGATCCAGATATGATAGACCACCTGCACGTCGCCCATTTGATCCTAATGATAGATGTTATGAGTGTGGGGAGAAAGGTCATTATGCTTATGATTGTCATCGCTACAGCCGACGAAGGAGAAGCAGGTATTTATTTGGAAAAAAAGGAGCGGTTGGTATATAACAGTTAATCATGTAATTCTTTTGTTAGCAAAGAAGAAAATACTATTTTTTTCTATAAAACTTTTTATGTGTTAATTGTCAGGTGTATTTTACAGTTTGTGTTTAATTTTAAAAATGTTAATATATTAATAATCAACCTGGTCAAAACCTTTCAGGTTTCTTCGTTTGAGTCAGTCGCCTTGATTCAGAATGTCACGAGCCTTAAGATATCATGCTGAGGCGCCTTGCAAATCCGACAATTAAGATCCTCCTAGACCTTGAGGTGATCAGCATAAGAGGCCAGATCCCCTCGAGCCATCTACACCTAGCTTCACTTTATTCTTTAAAGGGCAGAAAATTTGAGACGGTGATCGCCGTAACAGTAAATTTGGCTTTCAATTGGGGCCCCCCTCCGGTTTAGAAAGAGGAACACCAGATTGACCACATTCCCACCTAGAAAAATCTTCTTGCGTCAATCAAGCCTCACCTGGCTCATTTGGCTGTCAGTTTGATCGTCGTTAGATTGAAGAAAACTTCTAGATGCAGCGATCGGCTATAGATACTTCTAGATCGTCTAGATCTGCTAGACCTTGGGCCAAAGAGGGTCGACCTGCAAACTTGCAAGGTTTATTTTAAATACACATTATAGTGTTTTATATTATGTAATTCTAAAATGTAATTCAGCTTTTAACAAATCTTTTCTAGGTAGTAAAAAAAAAATACTCGACAATTAATAGGCCCTGAGTTTATTTCCAACTGACAGACACTGTTTTAAGTAGTTGTCTGAAATTTGATTTCAGCAGAGGTACACAAACATTAGTTTAAAAATGGAATTTTTAAGTCTAACACTTGTTTTCTCTAACTTGAAAATAGGTCACGATCTCGATCTCACTCAAGGTCCAGAGGAAGGAGATATTCTCGCTCACGGAGCAGGAGCCGTGGGAGGAGGTATTTTCAAAAAATGTTTCATTATGGAAACAATATATTTTTTGCAGTGGTTGACTTTGACTTACAAAAAATTCCTCGTCTTTTGCAGGTCAAGATCTGCCTCTCCTCGAAGGTCAAGATCTGCATCTCTTCGTAGATCTAGGTCTGCTTCAATCCGATCTCGATCTGGTTCTTTAAAAAGATCGAGGTATTTCCAGTATGTTGAATTTTCTTATGTTTAACTAGATAAAAACTGTGTCCTTTGGGGATTTAAATAGTCCTATCCTGCTTGATCTTGATTTAAAAAATAGGGAGGAGAGTGAGTTAGTTGTAGGATCATCTAGGCCCTGCAGCAGAGCCAAGAATGGAATTCCAGGTTCTCTGATTCAAAATCCAATGTTTTGTTTTGCTTTTTTTCCCCAGTGTACTCTGTTCCTTACTGGGGAAATCTGATTTCCCCCAATACTAAATTTAGAGTACTTTTTAAAAAATTATTTTATTTTGATTTATCAGCAATCACTTCCATAAGCTTTTGAGTTTTAAAATTTTTCTTCTTCCATCCCCCAAGACAGAGTGCAATCTGATATAGGCTATGCATATACATTTCTATTAAACATTTTCACGTTCGTGATTAAACTTAGAGTACTTTATAAAGGATGAGAACTGTGTTTGTGATATCATTGTCAAAAAATTCTGAAAGGATGAAATTCTGCCAAAGAAAAGTGGCCCTCTTTGCCCATGCTCTGAACCCAGAGGTTCATGGTCAGTTCTCCATGATGAATATATTTTCTTGCTGTGCTTTATTCTTAGTTTCAATTTTCCTCTCCCCGTGAATACTTCTTAGTTGGTTGTTAGGATCATGCCCCCAGCAAAGAGGTACCATATACTTTTCTGCCCCTGGGCCATTTTGGCTAAGCTGTTTTGCACAGCTTACTCTTCACTTGACAACCCTGAAGAGAAAAGGGCTTGAAGCTTAAGTTAGACAAAGTCTGGTTAATGGTGGGAATCTTGGAGAAGCATAGACTGAGAAATCTGGAGGCAGTGTGTACATCGTATTTTGGAGTATTGGGGTTTAAGAGTCATGTGACCTTTGGAGTCTTAACTTTACCATTTAATATCTTAAGACCTTGGGCAGGTCTCCTGATCTATAAAATTGCCTACTATTTTTAAAGTCCCCTTTGAGCTCCAAATTTTTGTTGGAGAGACAAACTCAGTTTGGGGAAAATGAAACAACAAAGATATGCTATGTTCTCTTAGTCGGTGAACCTTAGCATAGCAGAAATGTTTTTGACAAATTTTGTTAGGCATTGAACGTATAAGAAAAAACTAGAAATATTTATAGATATACTCATCTTTGGAGGTTGATATGATGATTCTTTGCCTACTTAGAAAAATTTCCTTGGTCTTACTACTAGGCCAGTTTATTCATACATGAGTCTTGATCTTTTTTTAAAACTATTAAGCTGATGGTGGAAATCTGGTAACTTACATTCATTTTAAAGTATATAAACGTGACATTTAGCCAAGTATGAAATCCCTGGTTTTCCCCAATATAGCTTTCTCAGTAGTGCATCGTTCAGGTACGTTGGTCATATCAAGTCTTAAACAACTGGTCTTGGTTGGGGAAACCTACTTGTAGATTTCTGTTAACACTTACTGTCCATCTGGGTTATCCCTATTTGGAAGACTTCAGTCGTATTATCTTGTTAACCTTATTTCATTTTTTTTTTCTCCCGCTCCACCAAGATCATCACGCTCAAGATCCAGATCCAGGTCTCTTTCAAGACCAAGAAGCAGGTAGGGTAAATTTGTAATACATTATTTTTAATAGCTCCAAACTCCAAAAAGCTCAAAGTGCTTTGAATGAATTTCATGAAACTTAACATACTTGGAAGGTCTAGGAGTTAAATAGAAAATCTGACATTTGGTATATTACCAAATGCTCCAGAATTTGAAGGATATTGACACAATTTGTATGCCACTGCTTAAAAGGGATTCATGGTTTCTCTTGGATCTGAATCCTTTTCTCATTATTTACTCAAATAGATTATTTTGAATTCTGTGTTCTAAATCATAAATCATCTTTAGAAGTTCTGGTTGAACTAAGCTGTCATGTTGGGGATGTGTTCTTGTTCAGTGCAAAAATAAATTGAAAATGTAGGTTGACAGAATAAAGTCTTAGCTATCATTTCTAATGATTAGTTTGATATGTAGAATGTCAGATTTTATTTTTTGTCATGGGTTAACTTGAGTATATATCTGGGCCCTGATTTCTTGATCTCAGGGCTTTTAATTTCCTGAGTCTTGTCTATACCATGATGGACTTAGTCCTTTAATGGGTCACATTTTGGTGTTCATTTCATGGTATGCTATTAGAAAGGGACCAGTAAGTACACTTTTTCTTAATAAAATTTCTTATGTTTTGACAGCCGATCAAAGTCCAGATCACCATCTCCAAAGAGAAGGTAAGTTGAATTTTTTTTTCAGACCATGGCTGATAATATTTGCCATATCTGAATTGTTTTAAGTGTTCTTTATGAGAGGCTTTTCTTCATGTGCTATGCAGTGAGCTCTTTGGAGTATTGGTGCTATATACTCTGTATATGTGTGGTGTGTGTGTACATACATATAGTCCTACATCCACTACAGATTTTATTTAAAATTGTACTCAAAAGTCTTTGAAATGATTTTATAGCTAGGTCTTGATTAATGCAAATAATGAATCCCCTGAAATGGTCCCATTATTTGAACTCACACTGCATGTTTCCATTGGACTGGAATCAATGAACATAAATTTTTATTTATTTTTTTTACATTTTATGTTAATAGCTTCAAGTAGTGCAGATTTGATTGAATGCATGGGACCACTTCAGGGGATTCATTATACTTGCATTAATTGAGACCTGGATGTACATAAAGGCAAGTTTTGAATACAACACGTAAATAATTTTGATGGAATGGGTTGTGTAAATTTTGTCTTCTGAGTCAAGCTTCTGACTACCATCATACTTTTATAGTATCTGGTAAGCAGTCAGAACTAATAATCATAAAACAAAGATTGATTAAGAAGGAAAAAACCTTAATTAGTGGACAAAATAATACAGTTGCTTTAGCAAATTTAAATTTATCAAAATTAGGAAAGAGTTACATGCATAAATAGGACTCTAGCCACTTGCTGCTAATAGAATTTATATAGGTCTTTCATGAGACTGGGGTTAACCTAGCAGTCAATACTATAATTTGGCAAGATGAGTACTAAGTTGCTAGTCGTAGTACTTACTGCTTTGTATTTTTTTTTTAAGTTTATATTATCTCAACATTTCTCAGTTTTCATTTTTTAACCACATATATACTTTTTGAACATGGCACAGGACTAATTTTTAGCTTAAAAGAAGTCGGGTTGGGAGGATATATAGAGTATGTTGTTCTATTTTGTCCTGACAGGCTCAATGATTAATCTTTTTCTTTTATTTTAGCCGTTCACCTTCTGGAAGTCCTCGTAGGAGTGCAAGTCCTGAAAGAATGGACTGAAATGAAAAAAAAAATTTAACCTTTTAGGAAGAAAGTTATTTTGTTTACATTATTATAAGGGATTTTGTGATGTCTGTTCAATATAAGTGTAACCTAGAAGGCTATTTGAACCATCTAATCATCGGAATGGATCTGGATATTTTAAGAGCTCTGTAAATTTACATCAGTAGAGTAGTGTAAATTTTTTTTGTTGTATGTATTAACATCTTATGATCTGAAAATGGAATTTTTTTTATTGGCACATTTAAGAATAAAAATGTGTTTCTAACTAGACTTCTGATTTGTGGTCACTACTGTTAAAGTTTGGCTTGGGCAAGTCTCAAGCCTAGAGAGCTTGTTAGGCCTGTTCAGGGTCAGTATCTGGATGTGGCTAGAAGGTGATTAAAAAGTAGTCAAGTTGAATGCACTCATGAAATCTTTCATACGTTTGGATAATTTCTTAATTGTCATTTGGGGCATTGAAAAAAACCTACCTTTTCATAGTAGATAAATTTGGAAGTAGTTGTTTTAGAGAGAGAACCTCAATTTTTCTTTTTCATAATTGCCTGTCATTTGTGGCAGACTCTAATGCCCTATGAAATTACCATCACCAAGGGACCATAATTCATTAAATTGGCATAACAATTGGACAGAGCTTTAAAGTAAATTTTGGGAAGTGCTGAAGGGTCCATGAAGAGTAATATATAATAGCACAAATTTTACTTTTGGACAACTGTTGTGTTGTAGCTAAAATTAATGCAATAAGAGCATTATAGGCAAGTTTGTCATCAGATAAGTACTAATGAGTGTTGGAAAAAGTCAGCATTTGGGAATATATTGCTCACTACTGTGCAATTGTTTTTAGTAATATATACATTTTAGTATTAAGTTAAATTGTTTGAAGATGCCAAAAATGAGTGCATGTTGTTTTGTGTTTTTTTTTTTAAGAATTGCTTGGATTGAGGACAAAGGCAAATGTAAACCAGCTTTGCAAAATTATTTTCCCAGCCTAAGCACATTTTACATCTTCCATGTCTTTAAAATTCTGCCCCAACTTCATCCCACCTGACCCCCCAACAGACAGGGCAGATTTTGCCAGGCTGGTGCAAAGTCTTTAAATTTGTTGATTATAAAACAAACTAAAATGTGGTTTGTACGCCAAGAGTACATTTACACTGTGTTAGCTTTTGGTTTGCCTCATGTCACGTGATGAACTTAAATAGTTAATAAAGACTAATAACGTTCCCCATACCTTAAAATAGTAGTATTAGAATATCATTTCACCAAAAGGCACAAATGATCTGTTCAAAGATATTTGTTTGCCAGTCATCCTAGCTTTGGTACAAAAAGCTTAACTTTCAAGGGCCATGTTTTTCCAGTGTACCTGGTACTGACTTCTGCCATAAGTTTAAATATATCAGGTAGTAATAGTAATTGGCCACAAATGAGTTTATTTGGTAATTTTTGAATGCTTTGACATACCTAAGAGCCATTTTTTTTAATATGCAAGGTTATTTGAAGAAACCTTTTTGTTAAGGGATTTGAATATTGAATGAGCAGTATGATTTGGTATAGAAACCACCTGCAGCGTACAGGTTTATCTGTTGCATTTTATCAGCTTTAACTGTTCTGTACTATATTAAGGCAAATTTACTCTACAATAAATCTGCAGAGATTGAAAAAGCAAATTAGTACTGTGTTCTTTATGAATTTTTAATGACGGGATTTATTTGGAAACCACCCGGCTATGAAAATTAGTCCATGGGACTTGACTAATTTTTTAGGCAGTATTTCTCTGATACGGGGATAAAGAAATGTTAGGTACTGCTGTTTCCAAATGGTGAATGGAATTCTATTCGGGATATGGCCACAGACCTGGAAGGGAGGTGCTGGAAGTATTTTCATCTCATTGCCTTATGGATTTGGCTGAATGTATCTTAAGCTCCCGCCAGCTATGCTTCAACCCAAAGCTGTGCCCTGAGTTACCACGTTTTGGCAGAGTGGGTGGGGTGTGTGTGTGAAGGAATTTTTTGAAAAGATAATAGCATTTATTATATGCCTACTATGTGCCAGGCACTGTGCTGTGCACTTTACAAATCACTTATTTTATCCTTAAAAACACAGGTACATGCTGTTACTCCCATTTCACAAATGAGACTGAGCAAACAGGTGAAGTGACTTGCTGTGGGTCACACAGCTAGTCAAGGCTGCATTTGAACTCGGCTTATTTCTTACTCTAGGCCCGACTGTCACCAAAGCAGGTATTTATTATCCTGCCACAACTCAAACTGTTAATGTTAGCCAAATCAAACCTTTCTGAGCTGAGCCAGAGTATCATCTCAACCCTATTTGACTCTATCCAAAGGTGTTTGTTGCTAACTTTTTTTCTCAGTTTGAGGGTAAATTAGCTCCCCCCCTTTTTAAAGGTCCTTATGATTTTTCTTAAACAGAAAGGAAGTGATCAAATTCACAAAAGACAGTCATTTACACTTAGAAAAGTCTTAAGACAGCAGACACTGCTAAGGTCTAGTGACAGTGGGAGTGGAAATGGAGATGGATAGAAATATTTCAGAGGTAGAAGTGATAAAATTTGGAGGAGGGAGAGAGAGGGAAGAGTTGAAACTGAATGACCAGGTAGTGCCATTGACAGAACGAAGGGGGTCAAAACAGGTTTTGGAAGAGAATGAATTCTTTTTTTGTGAGTTTGAAAGGTCAACAGGGTCCAGATGGAGTTATTCAATAAACAGGAAAAAATACCTGTTAAGAGTTTAGGAGTGGAGATAGAGATTTGGGGGTCATCTGAATGGAGAGGATAATTGAAGCCATGAAAGTGAATGGGATCATCAAACCTGCATGACATTATATAACTATCCATGGGCTGTGACCTGCTAAAGGATTTTGGGCAGCCTGCAAAAAAATGTTGCCACTGCCATACTCTCCCGTTCGTCACATGACCAGCAGCAACCATCATCAGTCTGTGTCTAGGCTAACCTATGTGCAGCCCAGAGAAGTTTATCCTGTTTTAATTTTGGCCCCTACCTACTGCCAAGTTGTGCAGGTCTGGTGTAAAGAAAGAGAAGAGAGGAAGAAGAACAAGCTTGGAAAAGAAGACAAAGAAACAGCATTCTTAAGGGCAAGAGAGCACCAGAGAATTATAAATGAGATCAAATGAGATATTTGATAAGAGTTTGGCATACAGCAGGAGCTTTGTTCCTTTCCTCTTTGATAATGATACAAATAATGGAAAGGGAAGAGAGGATGTCAGGAATGAGAGAGGGGATGGTCAACTTTCAAATGCTACAGAAAAGTCAAGGAGCACAAGGGCTAAGAAAAGGCCATTGAATTTGCCAATGAACTTGGTGGTGACCTTGGCAAGAGGAGTTTCAATAATGTAACAGGAGAAGAAGCAAAGTTCGAAGGGGACAAAAAAAATGGACAGTGAGGAAGTAAAGGCAGCAAGGAGGAGTCAGTATTAATGTATTCTTTTTAAAAGTTTAGCAGTGAAGGAACAGGAAAAAGAAAGATGACAACTTAAACAGATATCCCAGGGGCAAGGAAATGGTTTTTTGGTTTGTTTTTGTGTAGTGGGGTGGGTGGGTAGTATAAGAGGGAAAGGGAGAGGTAACCAATAGGCAATCCCAGTCTTGCCATAGCATCCATGAAATATTAGACCAGTAGCTGCTTCCTAAATAAATCAGGCATAACTTTAAGGGGTAGGGGATATTTTACATGACCCCAGGGGAAAATCAAAGAGTGGAAAGATTACAGCCACCCTCACTGTGGGAGCCAATCTCAGGGCTTATCTCCAGCCATTATCACTCAACACTCCTCCATTTTACCCCTTCCTGATTCTGGACTCCCATGGCTATGTAAGTTTCCAACCTCTTCGCTTTTACTGATGAAGACTTCCAGAATGCATATAAGTTAATTGCAATCTGGCCGTGAATTCTCTTTGCCACTGGTGTATTCGCATCTTGCCTCCAGATCACCTTTTGGCTATGGCCAGGCTCTGTACAACCAAGCAGAGTAGCTAGTTAGAAGAGCATTACCCCTATGAGAATCCCACTTCTCCTAACATTATCTTTCTACCCCTCTTTCAAACTTAACTATTTCTGATGAGACTACCCCCCATCTTTTTGGTCACCTCGGTTCACAACTTCAGCGTTATCCTCAACCTCTCATTGTCCCATCCCATATGTCCAACTGATTGCCAGGTTTTGTCTATTCTACCTCTATAACATCTCTCAAAGCCATCCCTTTCCCTCCAGTCACACAACTACCACCTCCATCCAGCCCCTCATCAACTCTCATCTGGACTATTGCAAAGACAATTCTAATCTTTTTTTTTGGCAATTGAGGTTAAGTGACTTGCCCAGGGTCACACAGCTAGTAAGTGCCAAGCGTTTGGTCTGAGGCTGGACTTGAACTCAGGTCTTCCTGACTCCAAGGCAGGTGCTCTATCCAGTGCACCACCTAGCTGCCCCAAAACAATTACAAGTCTTCCTGACTCTAATCTCCCCTTGCTCCAATCCTTCACACAGCTGCCAAATTGATATTGCTGAAGTGCAGGTCAGACCATCTTGATCCCCTACATGATGAACTCCCCCTTTCTGACTCCAGGATCAGGTATTATTTCATATTTTAAATTATTATTATTTTGTCTTTTAAAATAATTTTTTGTGTAAGTTTTATAATATATTAGTATAAAAGTAGTACATGCATTTAATGTATAAATATTCACCTATTGTAGGCACATGCTAAAAATTTTTTTACTGAAGAGGTCTGTGATCAAAAAGTTTAAAAGCTGGCCTAGACAAAGTCGTCTAGTGAGTTGGGGAGAGTTTATGGAAAGATGTAATTAAAAATCTTACAGAATGTGGAGAAATGACAGGGTCGTGATTTGTACAAAAATCCACAACAATGAGATTGTAGGTCCATTGAAGTATCTGTAATGGGGAGGGGAGACAAGGTGATTGCTAGAGAAGGGGCTTTGTAAATATAGACATGGCTCATGGGTGGCATGACCTGGAATCTGGTCCATTTTTGCACAGAGTAGGAGGAGGACCATGCCCATCACCTCCAGAGCCTAGCTGGGAGGGTAGAGGCAGGCAGGATCCAAGATCCAAGGTGGGTATTGCAGGAAGAGGAATTAGGCTAGAATTATATCTATTATTAATCTATAGTTAATTATATAGCCTATAGACATAACTAAGCACTCTACAAATATCTCACTTAATCTTCACAACAACCCTGGGAGGCAGATGCTGTTATTATCAGAGGAAGAAACTGAGGCA